TTCAGATTTGATATTTATTTTGCGATCATTAATAAGCCTCTCATGAACACAGCGGTGGTTGATTAGTTCATTTTAAACTCCTGCTCTGCTCGTTATTTTGGTAATGGAACGAAACGCACAGCATTGCGCAACACCTTGTTGAAATGATAATTACTGAGATTATTATTGTTGTTGGGTCATTAATTTGAGCACGTTTTGTTGACTTTTTTTTGTTGTTCTTTAATAAAGTTCTGAACGTTTTGATAAGGAGTCAGAGGAGGACATGCTGGTCTCAGCCTCCTTCAGTTTGTCACCTAATGCTGAGATCGACTCAAAATCTTCCGCTATCAAGGTGTTGCACCGCTGCTCTAACAAAGAACAGTTCAGAAACAACATGAAATGGGGAAAAAAGCTGTTTATTAACTAATGAAGCCATGTTTTAGATTGTTCTTGAAAAACTAATCACTCACGGCTGCACAGTGAATCCATTGATTTTTTACAGCAAACAGCCGCTCCCCTCTCTTGCAGGTACTGCGTACCCCCGCTAAATCTTTTAGGGGAAAGCAGGACCCTGCCGTACCCGCCTACTTTCACCCCTGGTGTATATTCTCTAAATTTCAGCATGTTCCATAACAGACAGAGGCTGACAGCTTGTTTGCTGTAATACAAACAGCTGTTCTTGTGTCTTAAAAAATGTGAAATAAACCAGTCAGATCATGGTTAATTTCACTTTTGTCAATTTGATAAAAGTGAGGTCATGCGTACTTGAAAATCTGAGTATAAGATGACAGAAAGTGAAAAAGCACAAAACAGAGAAGCAAGGAAAAAAGCAGTATGCACAGAAGAGTATCCTTTGATTGTAGCAGCTTGAGATCACAGCTAACAGAGCTCTGTGGAAAACAAGCTAACAAGGTTCCTTACATTTTCAGTCTACTTCATTTAGTAATGACTTCTATATTTTTCGGTGTGGAAGTCACACTTTTGCTAGTGCACTGATAGTGCTTAGATTTTCCAAAAATAGAATCAGTTGAGCAGAAAATTGTTGATTTCAGTCAACTACCGGTCACCAAGTGAATCTCTACTTTTGTTGACATAACGCCACCTACTGTCCTGGCATGGTTGTTTTAGTGTCTGGTAAATTTTCGGTATCCATACCTTTTTTGAATAAATATTTAATGTTTTCAAAAAATTATTGTCGACATAGCAGCCGTCAGGACAGTCATCAGGATACATTTTACATGCAGTCCTCCAAGACCAGTCAGTGTAAACTGACGTTTACAACACTGGGATCTTCTACGTCCATTGATGAGTCAATGCGACAATAACAGCTGCAAACAGATTCCAACTGCCCAACTGTAATTAATATTGCAAAATTAATGACAATATGAAAGCATCAAAGCTTTCATACCAACTCACATGTGCACAAACTGGTAGGCCAAGCTCCATCTGTTCAAACTAGAAGTAAAAGAACTAGAGAGGTGGAGCAAAGCTGCCAGTGCCTGTGAATAACACCGATGAAACTCCTCATATGTTCAAGGAATGGCCCCCAAGTTCTAAAATATCTGGGAACATAATAATTGAGAGTGTAGTGTATTTTTTTCTTTATCTAAACTTTTAATAAGATTTTTTTAACCTACAAATGTGGGAAAATATATTTGCTAACAGACATATTCAGTATGTAATGTTTCTACAGTACTTACACACAATCCACTTCTCCATTGCGTCCAATGACAGATATTCACAAGGCATCTAAAGATGGAGAGAAAGCCAAAGATTTTTTTGTCGTACTCTTTGTATAAATGTTCAGTTTATGACCAAAAAAAGCCCAATATATTTTTGTCAAAGCTTATTAAATGTTACAAAAATATGTCTTCACAAAACAAATCTTGAATTGTTTGAGTACTAACAGTATCTGATTGAGCAGGGTTGAGCATTGTGGAGGGAGCAGAGATTAGAGAGAGCAGCTGGGCGTTCCTCCACTGGTCGGCAGACAGATTCCTCCTTGGATAGACCATCTGAAGGCTGATCAACGCATCCGACAGCGACTGCAAGGAAAGAGACAAGACAGGAAGGGAACAGTACCACATTTAACAAATCCAAACTTGAACTGTGACATACAATGCATGCACATGTCAAAATCATCCAACAAATTCAGGAAACCACTTATTTGGCCGGCAATAAAATCTACATTTTCCATCATATATTATTAGATAGAATTATTATACTGTATAAGAGCAGATTTGATACCTTTCCATGTGGAACAAACTCCTCCATCATCTTCTTCAAAGGGTTCTCATAGTCGACGATCATCTGACCCAGCCTGGGGTATTCTCTGTCACTGAAACACACAAACAGCTTCAGTTACCACGGAGATAATAACCTCCATTTGGGTTTATTAGAACTGGGCGCTTGGAATCAGTTCTCTAATGCGCTGTGTCGTTATTCCCGGTGCCGGTCACCTGGCTCCGTGGGTCATCTCGTGGGCGTAGTTGTACAGTCCAATGATGGCCTTTCTCTCCTCTATGCGGGAGAGGATTATCATCAGAGTAGTGTATGTCACCACCAGGTCCAGGTAGTTCTTGGTCAGGTCAAAATTCACAGTCTGACAAACAAAATCACAAAGAGTAAAACAGATGTGACAAATAGCTTTGAAAGTATAGAAAGGCATCTTTTTAGGACATTAATCGAAACAACTGCTTACAATGTCAAAGAAGACTTGGCAGGCATCGATTGTGTTCAGCAGCTCACACACATGGTCCTGTTGATATGCAGGAAAAATGCTGGTTACATTTTTTTATATTAGTTGATATAAATTAAGCAGTGGTGGAAGGTTATCTATGTGTTTTAACAGTGCTTTTGAGCAACAACCTTTATAATGTTGGAAAGCCTGTTTAGTTCCCATTAAATGTTGCTCCTATGTAACACTGCCACATCCTATCCACCAATGGCAATAATCTTCTTTTTGAGACAGTAGCTGCATTTCAATTATAAATTAGCACAAAACGTTGTTGATATTCTGTTGATGATGAAAAAACAATTTTTTTTAATGGCAGCATCTCCATTACATTATAATCACTCGTGAATTAGTTTGTTCACGTGATAAGTAGTTTAAAAACATACCGCGCCATCATCCTCCTAATATTTCTATGGTCTTCTTCATCTTTCCAGCTAGTAGTAACATCTGGCTGGATCACATTTTGATACGGCCAAAAATAATCAACTCACAACATTGTAGCGCAAAAACTTTTTAATCAAAAGAAGAGAGTTTTTCTGAAACTATTGGGTTTCCATTAACCAAATTTATTTTTGGAATTCCACAACATCCATCCATCCCTCCCTCCCCCTAGTGGGGTCGGGAGGGGTGCTGGTGTCCATCTCCAGCTAATGTTTCAGGAAAGAGGCAGGGTCAACCTGGACAGGTCACCAGTCCATCGCAGAGCAACACAGAGACAGACAGGACACACAACCATACACACACACACTCACACCTAGGGAGAATTTTAGAGACCAATTAACCTGACAGTCATGTTTTTGGACTGTGGGAGGAAGCCGGAGTACCCAGAGAGAAATCACGCATGCACAGGGAGAACATGCAAACTACAGAAAGACCCAGAGCCAGGAATCAAACCCAGGGCCTTCTTGCTGCAAAGCAACAGTTCTACCTACTGCACCACTGTGCAATTTGCAATGTTTTTGGTTAATGGAAAGGCAGCTACAGTGATGACAGGGTGAGGCAGCAAGTTTATCTGGAAAACATCTTGTTTTTGGAAGTAGGGAGATGTTGGAATAAAACTGACCATGTATCTCCATATTAACTGCTGAAAATTTGTTTAGTCACGTTTATTTTCATAGATCATATCTAAAACATCCGAAGGAAATACCTTAGCACAATGCTATTGGCTGGGGTTTGCAAAGCAATGAAACAAAGAGTAGCATTCATTTTCCTTTGGGCTGATTGGACGTTACCCCCAAGAGTAAATATTACAAAGACTTAAATATTAACCTCTGCAGTAGTGCCAAGATGGTTTCCAAAGTGTGTATTCATACATATTCAAGTATATTTAAAGCTTGAACGATTAAAATGGTTATAAGTGTTTTCAGACGAGTCAGAGTCTCAAGTAACCGTGGATGGTTGCTTGTTTTTTCTTACCTTGAATTCCATGACGTCCACAAAGGTAAAATAGTAGAGAGCCAAGTTCTTGAGGATCTCAGACTTCTCCTTCTGCAGCTGAGCCAGCTGTTGCTGTGAAAAACACGAGAAAGAACGTGAATTTGCAATATTGTCTAGATTTTTATGCCTACTTTGCTTACTGGGAAAATCATCTTTCTGCATGAACAACAGTTTTTTGTAAGCATATTACATTCAAGGCTCGGCATACATCATCTGAGATTCTCACAGAACAATAACCGTGAGTAAAAAAAATACTATAACCTTCACGGCATTTAAACAAGAGTTTTAGGCAACAATGTTAAATATAATCCTACAATATTTTTTTGTGAGTGAGGGGCATTTGAGAAGCTTTAGTACCAGTAAACACACTTTGGCCATTGTCTAGGCCAGAGGTTCCCAAACTGTGGGGCGTGCCCCCTAGGGGGGGCGCTGTGTCATTGCAGGGGGGGGGGCGGCAAGCCGTCTGGATGAAAACAAAACAAAACATGAACGCTGTATGCGCTGGGTTTTTACCTTAGAATGGCCAACTCTCTGTTATTCCTATGTCAATTTGATACAGTAGAGGCTTCCACACTTCCCATATTTGTGTCCTCTGTCACTTTTATCAGTTAAAACTGTTTAATCCGTTGTTAACATGTTGTAACCTGTTTTTCCGAGCCGCCTTTGAACGCAACATGAGCGCTAGACGCTCGCGCTGGGTTTACACCTGTGAAGAAGACCTGCTGCTGCTGTGCGGAGCTACAGCTGTGTTAGAATCACGGCAGCAAACCAGCAAAACGCAAAGAACTTTTCACAGTTTTTCCTCCAAACTAACCGACTGAGTTGAGTAAAGCTGTTGGATGCAGGTAAAGTTAGCTAAATATCAATGTTAGCTAAATAGCTAATATCAATACAGAACCTTAAGCTTAACAAGTACCGTGTAGGCTACCGATGTTGGTGTCTATTTTCAGCTACGAACATTCATTTTGCCCCCAAAAAAGTCAATGCCCCCCCCCCCCCCCCCCCCTCCCACCCCCCCTTTCCCCCAACCACCCATTTCTCCTCCACA